CTGGATACACTTCAGCAAAGCTGATGTTTGGTCGGGAACTTCGGTTGCCAGTGGATCTGATAACAGGATGCCCACCTTATGAAGAGTTGCCTGAAAATGTGTCAGAGTTCGAGAAAGTGTTATTTGAAAGGATGGATAATATACACCATCAAATGCATTCAAACTTGAAAACGTCTGCTGATTCCATGAAGCTATGTTATGATAAGAAATTCACTGAAGTCAGATTCGTACCAAGAGACAAGGTGTGGTTGTAACTTCCGCTGTCGTAACAATAATGACACTGACGGCTCAAGGATTTTGGAGTGGAAGAGGCCACCTGCAAAATATTAATCTCTCATGTAATTCTGAGAATGAGTCTATTGACATTATTAGGCCTACATTTGAATATTTTCCCGGATAAACAATAACGTCACTGATCAGACTAGACTTGTCTTAAAACTTACAAATTAACCCTAATTTCCTCTTTCATCACGAAGTGGTAGAAGTTTATTAAACTTCTACCTCAGTGATAGCATCAAAAGTGAATGTACACAGAACTTGTATCTGTAGAGAGTGTATGTCTTGGCGGCGTCCCTGTATAGCCTAACTGGCTATAGAAAAAAAGGTTTTACTTACTTACTTAGTTACGGCATGTGTAACAGTTAATAACATAGCACTGTGTTTCCTTGGTTCTTTCGGGTCATGAATTAAACGTACGACTGTCACTCTGAGCTATTTTACATTGTCTGCCAGTTCGAAATTCAACACAAAGCAATGGCGGCCGCATGCACACATGACCCTCAGTGATAAAGAGTAGTGACTGACGAATCTAATGTTATTTATATCTATGGTTCAAGACACATACATATGAATCTGTTAAAATTTTAAACAGTACACTTGTGTTAAACAGGTGACGTACAAATTTACACCAAACTTTTAAATTTAAAAAACAAAGTTATTAGGATTTAGATGAAAATTATAATAAAAAATGATTTAAAAGAAAAACAGTTATGACAAAAAAAATTGGGTATCGTTAAAAAACATACCTGACTAAAAAACATTAAATGAGGACTTCTCCACACAGTGTCTTTAGGCTTTTCTCGCAAGACTGGTATAACGTAACGAAAAATGAGATGTTCCAAAACTAGTGTACAAATAGCTACAAGATGGCCTACACAAAGCATTATAAATACGCCAGAGACAGCACGCACACTCAAACCCATAGGCTTGGTTAAACCATGCACCGACCCTTCAAAACAGGTACCCTGCCATACCACTTCTGTTGTAGTTGGTCGATATAACCAGCCTCGTTGTAGCGAAGTATCAAGTCTGACATTGCATCCTGAAAAATATAAAAACAACACTTGAAGAATATACAGGCTGGTATAGCATCTTACAATATTACATCTATATAAATAAACGTCAATATGTGTGTGTGTGTATCTGTTCCTTATACGTTTCCACATTTCTTGATCAATCAGCACCAAACTTAACACAGTGATACAGGATGACAAGAGGAAGATCAAATTTCATATTAATATACTTCTTGAAAACACTACATCCTTATTTTCATTATTGGTAACCTTATGTATTTTTATTGAACTTTTAATGTTTATTACGTTAAGAACAAAAAATAGAAGCATAACTTTCTATCCTTTGTTACAAAGGGGTACTCCAGCTAGTTTGTTCATAAAACCAAGACAATTTAGCCAAACTTTATCATGAGTGATATCGTATATCATACTGTTACGACATCGGGGGTCATGTGACGCTAGTATCACGCCACAAGCTTCTCGAACGTTCACGTCCCTTCCTGAAATATTGGGAGTTTACTAGATCTCGGTATTCTTTTATATATAAGACGGTCACGACGTGATGGGAGGGTAATGAGTAATTTAACTGCGGACAGAGAGAATATTGTTGAGCACGTGAGAAGTTCGTTGTGAATTATAGCGTTTGTTATAGAGCGACTGTTGAAATTAAGGGTATCGCAAAATTGTATTCAGAAAGAATAAACCAGTTTTATTTAAGAAAGGATTTGTATCTTTAGAGTTTCTTCAGAAATAATTTTTACGGAAAATTAACTAACGAACGGAGACGTAACAATACGTAGTTACCCTGATGAAGGACATATTGTTGGAAGTTAAATGTTCTATCACTGGGTGGGTTCTGTTAGATTATTTGGTTAAAATGAGGCTCCACGTAATAATAGCAAGTTAGTTAATTTCTTCTTATTTTCTACAACGTTTTTGCGGCCACGTCCACTTGTAAGTTGTAGGCCTAATTCATAACTAAACTTTTCAACATAAATTTCGCATCTACATATTGGCCTAACTTTAAATACAACGTTTCAATGCAAACTACAAGACGTATGCCTAATTTAGCTTTGATCTATAAACAAAGACGTAATTCACCCAGTAACAGAGGAGTAGAATAGACGTGATAAATTTCGTTACTAACACCAAATTTTCAATCACAACTCAAATGAATATTTCACTGTATTCTAAGTCACTAACTCTAACCAACTCTCAATATTTCTCAAAGGCTCTCATTATTAATAGCTCCCTCTGGCTAGAATTTAAAACTAACACACTAAAACCTAAACACGTGTTTTTCTTCATTATTCGAAATGTATTTGTTTGATAGAGATTAAGTATTATTGTTCAATATCTTTATAACATTTTACAGATATTTTGACTCTTGCGGTATGAAGTTTTTTTTTTGTCTGAATAGACGGTTACCAGATTTTCAGAGTTAAAAATTGGGACATTGTATCAACTCTAAACAGTTTAATAATATGTCGCTGTAACAACTCAGAAACACAATAATACACCTAAACAACGTAAAAAAAATATATATTATCACTGACACCAATTAAAACGCTTCTTATTGAAAGACTCTTCATTAGATTGGTTACCTTTAGAGGAAATCCTTGTTGCATTCCAATTGCATATGCATCGTCAAAGATGGGGTCTCCTAACATGTGAAGGTTACAGTCGGGTTCGTTCCCCCGGTAATAATCCAAGACTGCGGTGTCTCCGATCAGAACGTCAAGCTCGCCGTTTCTTAAGCAGAAATTAATAACAGTCAGAAAAGTCGAAATCTCCCAAATAACGCGTCAAGCTCAGTTTTGTAATAACGAATATTTTAATAATGGGCAGAATAGCCGAATATTCCTGTATAACTCGCAAAATTTTCAGTTTTTAAGCATAAAAGGATCAGTAAACAGAAGCGCGAAATTCTTCTAGTTGTCGAGTATTTCAATTTCAGTTTTAGAATAAAAGTTTTAATGCGATTACTAAGAAATACGACCAGTTTTGGTGATATAGAAATACACGTTATTTATAAGTTTAATACATTTAACTTATAATTTCTTTAAAATATTTAAAATAACTTTTTCGTAGTTTCCACTCACTTAAAAGATGTATTCTTCCAGACCTGTTAAATTTATCAGGACTAAAAAATATACGATCCATTTTCACTATGAATTTTTAAAAAGTTTAATAACTAGAGAATTTAAAAGTTTAATTTTTTTGCTAAATATTGGCTGTAGAAAAACAAGACAACGATCATAATTTTGTTCTGCAGGTTTTATGTCAGTGGTAGTTTTTTCTTTCTTAATCTCTAAATGAATGTATTCAGTAAAGGGAGTAATTATGGAAACATAAGCAACACATACAGGAATCACAAATTACGAATAATAGGGACTAGAAAATTTATTAATACTACAATTACTATTAATACAAAGCTGCACGAGGGCTATCTGTGCTAGCCGTCCCTAATTTAGCAGTGTAAGATTAGAGAGAAGGCAGCAAGTCATCACCACCCATCGCCAACTCTTGGGCTACTCTTTTACCAACGAATAGTAGGATTGACCGTTACTTTATAACGTCCCACGGCTGAAAGGGTGAGCATGTTTGGTGTGACGGGGATTCGAACCCGCGACCCGCAGATTGCGAGTCGAGCGCCCTAAACATCTGGTCATGCCAGGCCTTTTATTAATGCAATAAGTTATAAAATGCAATATTTTTTATGGGAGCCATTTGCTTCCCACAGGGTATTACACCTTGTTTTTAGGTTGACATATAGCTTATCAATGGAAGGTTATGGAATACTGTTCCAAATATCCCGCATTGCTTCTCACAATCCAGCAAAGTTGTTTGATCAATTTTTGGCCTTTTCGGGTTTACAAAAGCCCGTAGAGCCTCAAGAATGTTTATATTGGGACTTTGTGAGGGTCAAATGATGATTGTGAGTGTTCCATCGTACTCTTAATCATCAAGATGCCATTACACTACGCTTTCGTATCCTTGGGACCATTATCTTGTTAGAAGATGAATCCCTGCTCAGTGAGTCGTGTTCCTGATAGAATGAAATAGTGGACTTGAATTTACCTGTCAGTAGTAGAAGTGGCATCAATTTTGTATTGATCACCGACACTGTTGGTTGAAATGTAGCCCTGTATTTGAACTAATTTTCAGTCCCACGGTGAGACGGATATAAGTTTACGGACTTATAACGCTAACATCCAGGGTTCGATTCCCCGTGGTGGACACGGCACGTAACCCAGTGTGGCTTTGCTCTCAAACAAACTGAAACTAATCTCCAACATTCTTCTCTGTAGATATTGAACACTGATTACGATATCATTCTTTTTATCCACGTCAATCAAACTGTTGTTGTTTGTTCCCGAACAATTCTAACTTGGATTCGTCTGTAAAGAACACATGTCCCCAGCTTCAGTCATTCTACTGTTTGTGGTCAGGTGCCTGTTTCAACCTTTGGATTGATTACCCCTCTTCTTAGCAGTGGTTTCAAGCAACTACAAGTTCACCGAGGCCACTTCTTACTAATGTGTATCTTACTGTTCTCAGGATAACGTTCACACCTATATATATTTACTGCAAGGTCGTTGACACGATCTGTATTCTACCGTCGTCTATCTCGTGAAGAACGCTAGTTAAGATACTTAAGACTATTCTTAGAAAGGTTTGGTTTTCTTTCTCGAAAACTTTTATTATTAACAATGCCAGTTTCACACACGCCTTGAGTGTTGCACATAGCTCCTAGACAAACATACACGTAGACTATCCTTCACAAACCAAAACGTTTGTAATGTGCTACTTCAGATCTGAGAGCCATGGCTGGATCACACTGGTCGACATAATATGTCTGTTTTTATAGGCTTTATACTGAGGTGGAACCTTTTGATTGGTCGTCACCCAACCAATCAAATTACACATAAATCAACAATAGGAGCCTATCCTCTTGTGCAGTTCATTTTCACACGATTAGGTGTCTTTTATTCTTTTCCCTCACTGTTTTCATAATTATCGAATATAATGTACATATTATTTTTTATATACGTTAATAATCCAATAGAAATAACTTTTTAAGTTTAGGAAAGAACCAAATGCTGCTCTCATCGTAAAAAACAATCTAACATCAAAAAAGTTTTAATTGCTATAACTAAAATCAAAATTTGTCGATGTTCACCGGGAAAGTTAATTAATATGTATAATTACATTCATCTAAGTAGAGCTTGTTAGTAACATCAGTTTTTGTCCAACGTTTTCCACAACCACAGTAATAGTAATTATCACATTTTCTTACCTCAGTTTCTCTAGCCCATCTTCTATGCTCACAACTTCGTATTTTTTCACGTGGTCCCAGAGCCGAGGATATTCCCGCAAAATGTAACCTTCAGCAGCACTTCCCTTAGCCGTGCCTGTTCGCTGGTTGAAAAGCTAGAATGGCATAATTTGGTAAATTAGCAGAACTTCCAGTTAAGCTTAGCTTAGCAATGTTATATATATATTTAAATTTAACTGTTTTCCATCAGGTGAATCAGAACGATTACGTACTTTTGTGAATCTGTAGATATGCCAATCGATTTACGGAGAATTTGTTTGTTTTGTTCGAGCAAAGCTACACGAGGGCTACCTGCGCTAGCCGTCCCTAATTTAGCAGTGAAGGACTAGAGGGAAGGCAGCTAGCCATCACCAACTCTTGGGCTACTCTTTTACCAACGAATAGTGGGATTGACCGTTACATTATAACGCCCCCACGGCTGAATGGGCGAGCATGTTTGGTGGGACGGGGATCCGAACTCGCGACCCTCAGATTGCGAGTCGAGCGCCCTAACCACCTGGCCAGAAAGAAATAGAGATGACATGGTTTTTATTGTTTGGACTCGTATTTCATTTCCTCTTGCATTTCATAACTATGGCTATATGCTTGTCTTGTGACCAGACATAGTGCTACCAACTGTACTGATGTTGATTGAAAATCTCACAGCAAGTATGACAGTGCAGTATTATTTGTGAATCAACACATGTAAGATCGTGTAATATTTTCACCAATTGTATTTTCTTTGTATCTATTTATTACTAGATGCAGTCTTGTATACTTGGAGGAAAGTGTATTTGATTGCCTTGGGAGGGAGACTGTAAGAAACGAGACAGTATGACCATTGGAGAAGTAAGGTATATCTTTCTAAAGTACTCTGATTTTTGTATTGCTTGTTTTTTGATTTAACTGTTTCTAAGTCTCACATGCTACTACTACGTATGTAGGAAGCAAATTATATGTAGGAAAGAAAAAAGAGGTTTATAAGAGATTATTGATGACAATTTAAGAAAAACTTACTACACTTGTATAACAACATATGTACTTCAAAATATAAATATGAAAAACAAATTAATCTAAGTACTTATTTGCTAAATAGAAAAAAAAGGCATTAATCTAAATACTTGTTATATAGAAAAAAATTAAACCGAACTTAAATATATGTTTGTCAAATACAGAAAATAAAACAAAACAATTTAAATGTTACTTACGTCGGAATCATACAGATCATCGACTCGTAGTTGGAAGAAAAGTCCTGCAAAGAGAGCTGCTACCTTAGCAGTGTAGCTAGCTAAAAATATCACGCTGAAACAACCCCAGACGTTAATGAGCACTTTATTAGGCCAGGATTTGGGGGCCTTGAAGGCTACCAGGTGGCTAAAGAGAAGGGACCACATGACCCAGAGAGCCGAAGCTAGACTAAAGTTTTTGGTGCGCTGTCTACCCCAAGGATTCAGGCCAAATGGACTCAACCACTCGTAGACTGCAGCAGTAATAGCCGTAACGTTTAGACTAGCAAATATGACGATCCAGAGTTCGATACTAAAGGGTTCGAGAAAGGCAGAGAGTGGAACTGCATGTAGCCTAGAGGGCGCTAGACATGATACCCCAGAGTGGAAGTAGGGGACGGAGAAGTCCACCTCTTGTATGGTGAGGCTGTTGACACTGTAAGAAGAGAAAGCCAGATGAGCGGCGCCACTGACTAAGTCCGCCGTGATCCCATTCCATCCTTTCCCGCGATTTGTTCCAAACATCCCGTCAGCCACCAGGTACAAGTCGTATTCGAAATGTAAATCATTAGCTATGTCCGTCAGTAAGTCCATCGTTATCCCTGCACAGCAGGTCACGTTGTATCTGATTCCTTCGCACCTTCCTCGAGCATAGTCGGCGAAGATCGTTGCTAGCTCTTCCTCCCGATTTGTGGTCACCTGTAAGCACGGTATCCCCATGAGACAACTCCCGTTGCTAACCCTTGTAGACTGTTGGACAAACGGTGGTGCGAAGGCTGTGACCACCCGGAATCGCTGCTTTCCTAGTGGCCAGGGAGCTGTCCTCCCTGCTCCCAACCAAAGGACGGCATCTAGACGGACGGACAGACCACTCACATTCCCCAGAACCTTCCATGTTCCTTGCACCAAATTCAGAACATCAAACACTGGAAACTTGACGAGGTTGGAAGAGAAATTACTTGCGTTTCTTTGCACACTTCTTTCTTGGTCTAAAACACGATTCAGGTGCCTTTGAGAGATAAAATAATTAGTAATACTAAAAAAACAAAAATCACGTTAAATAGATCATAAAACGCCAAAACCCATTAATCCGAGCGCTTTCGACAGCTCCTCCCCCATATAACGTTAAAAACAAACAAACAAAAGCTTTCGAAAGGTGAGTATTTCTATTGGATGGATCAGTTTTATTTTTTAATCAAAATAGTCACAAGTTAAGTTCTGTCAAAGTAAATATATGTCTGTGTTTTTGTTTGATATATATATATCAGTATTGATTCCGGGAAATTTTTAACACAGAAACAAGTTCAGAGTTAAACAAGACAGCTTGATCACATATACAAGTGTATTTTCTACCTTTGTTAACAGCAGTTAGTGATCAAATTGTAACCGATGTTTAAAAACAATTGTCCTGCGACATGTTCGCATAAGTTGAGTTGCACACGAACATTTGATTTAATGTCAGAATTTCCTTGGTTACGAACACCCGTTCATTGAAAGCCGAGTTAAGAATAAAACTAAAAGAAGTGTATGAACTAAAAGACGACTAACATTACGAACTTCACCAACTTATTGATAAGAAAACTGGTTAAACAATTCATTACATTTCCCCAGAACACAATGAAAACAAATAATGGAGAGATATATCTCACCCTCAGATTTTTTTTTTTTACCCAACAGTCTCATATATTTTTTTTTAGCCCTAGAGAGTTAGACCGGCACAGCAGATGTTATCAGTGCTGCTGGGGTCAAAGTGTGACTCAGTGTTTAAGTTGTTAACACTAGTTCCTGCTGTTCGTAGCTCTAGAAACGTTGGTATTACAACGTCCAGTATGACTCAGGATCTCAGTTGTTAACACTAATTCCTGATGTTCCTAGCCCTACAAACGTTTGTATTACAACGCCCAGTATGACTCAGGATCTCAGTTGTTAAAACCAGTTCCTGACGTTCGTAGCCCTAGAAACGTTTGTATTACAACGCCCAGTATGACTCAGGATCTCAGTTGTTAACACCAGTTCCTGACGTTCGTAGCCCTAGAAACGTTTTTATTACAACTGTAATAGTTGAATAAAGTGTGTCCAGTCTACAGTATAAGAACCTAACAACTATCAAGTTGTTTAATCAGCTGTTTAATAACTTAAAAATGTTAATCAAATACTTTTAATTTCATATTTAAAAGAAATCCCTGGAACCTTATTTGACCTTTTGTGACCCTGCGTAGTTTACCAAGAACAACAACACCATTTAACTGCATATTCCCATTAGAATATTACTTTTATCTTAACACTAGTTTTAATTTTTATGTATCCTAACACTAGATATTGTATTAACGAGAGAGAGAACGAACGTTTATGAAAACAGTTTACTAGTTCCAAATTATGTACATTAGAAATACATTAATACTCTTACCTGTGTAATTCACGGGAAAAAGTTTTGTGTCGCTTATCAGGAGGAAAGGAACACCTTAAAGTACGGGCAACATTTACAATCCAATTCTCGAAAATTGCTGTCCCTATTTGTTCAACAGTTTCAGCGAAAACGTTTACTGCTTCTCGCACATTCTTTGGCTTCAGGGTTATTGGTCTAAGTCGGAGAACCAATAGGCCGGACGGATAGAAGCCCACATGACTGGATTCGAGGTTAATGCTGTCTTCTAACCCGACCCAAATAAAGTTGCCCCTCAGTAGGTTTAGGTTTTCAGCTACTTCGAATACCCGTACAGCTGTATCCTCGTCGCAGTAAAGAAGAATAACCCTGCTATGACCCTCCCTTATTTTGCCCAATCTGATCAATATTTCATTATTTTCCAAAGTCTTACGAAGAGAAACTGTTGTGAGAGGGCGCCACGGAGAAGAATTCAGACGAACTTGAAGATGACGAATAAGCAGGGAACCAATGTTACTATCGTCTGCTACTAGTACTACGTCGTACCATTTACAGAAACGAAGGAATTGAAAAACCGCGTCGGCTAGTTCCGTTGTCGAAGGATCCAGTGAGGTATAAAACGGGTTTACATCCTGCATAATAATAAAACAAGTTTAATTCGTGACAATATATTAAAATAAAAAGGACTATTCCTTCAAAAAACTGTCTTATCAATTAACATTAACTTCCGATCAGAATAAGCTATATACTTACAGCAAAAGTAAAAATCAACCTCTCCATCAGTTTAGCTAATTAAATACACATTTCTTACGTTTTTTTTTGCGGAGATTAGAAAAATGCATTGTTTCATCAGTTTGGTAATACCCTCACTGTTAGGATTACGGCCGAAAACGTTGCTATCTTTAACTGAGATAAAGAATATTATACATATGTTCTACTGTTATTGAACTGGTCATTTGGTAAAACACTCGTGGTATATTGTTGACATTTTCTACAACGTAAGTTAGATCAAAGGACAAATTTCACAAATTAAATAAATGAAATACTATACGCTTTAGAACCTAACATTTTTAATATACGATCAATAAATTCACATCAAACAACTACTCTAGAAGTGGTTTTATCTAATTTTACCACGTAGACAGATGAATATCATAATAATACACACATATATATACAGTGTCATGCAAGCAGTTAAATAATTATGCATAGAATTTCTTTTATGTGCAGTTTTTGGAATTACTAACATGATTAAAGATTGATATTTTAGAAATATAAATATTCAATGCATTATTTATCTTTTAAATAATGCACATTCACTCTACATAAGTAACACAGGCCTGTGGTGGTTTTATTGTCTTAACATTTTTACGTGTTCTACAGTAATTCCTGTGCGCTAAATTCGAAAATGATATCCATTTTTCTCCATCACGTACAGACTTTTAACAAAACATCATATATACTTTTACATAAGTGAATCATTTTCATTGAAATCGGGTCACATTTTGTTATGCGTAAAATGCTGACAACCACTGGCTACAGATTTCTCTAGACCAATCGCGACGTGAGAATCTTATCGATCGTTCTAGAACCCAAACATAATAATAAAAAATGATCGTTGTGGTAAACGAAATAATAATTTGATCTAAGTAAGAGTTTTTTCTTCCCGATTTGTAAAAAAATCCTTACGTGATAGAAAAAATAATAATATTCTTTTCGAAATCTGCGTAGTTGAATTACGGAAAATCCGTTATTAAAACCAAAACAACTTTTATGAAGATTAAATTCGCAGGCCTATGTTATGCTAGCTGTACTGTATGGATACAACAAACACCGAAATAAATACCGAAATTGTAAATAAATAAAAATTCGATGTATTATTTTTTACCCTTTGCATAATAGAACTTATTTTAACAGGGTAAACTAAAAAGAGAACATTAAATTATTTTTTTCTATAGCGTTTTGAAACCATTCTAATCTGAAACCGTTGTGTCACATTTCAGTGATTGAATCAGCGAAAGTACTCCCCAGTCGGCTGTTGTGTAGATTGTTAAATCCGTTGGTTCTTTTGTTTTCTGGGACGTGTTTGAATAACGAGCTTTTCCTGCAGTGCAATTTCAACTTTTGAATTTTTTTTTTCTGTTATAATATATACAAATTACAGACAAATTCCAAATACAAGCAATCTAGCTACACTCATAGATTAATATTTTGTAAAATTATTTTGAATAAAATAACAGAAGCGAGTTCCGTATTTTTGAGTAAATAGCGCTGAAACAGAAACAGAAACGAAAAGTTCGTTCTCGGGTTATTTTTGTGCATACCGTTCTGCCTATATAAAAAGCATAAACAAAGTTTAATCATATCTACGAACTAATCTCTTCAATCTTTAGCTTAAAACCAGTATTGCGATATTGTAATATAACATCTTAGAGCATTAATACAACTTCAATTGGATATCACTCATAGAAGATGTTAACCCTTATCTAGTTTAAGTTTTCGTCTAGTACTCCAAGTTAATACACCGAAACAAATATCTGATACTTACAGATATTTTTGTTTTTAGGATATAGATGTAAATATCAGGGTTCTATTCTATAGCTATTATTTTTAGGGTCTGGAACAGAGTGCCTTTTATTGACAACCTATAGAAATTTTCAGCCGGAAGATCATAATGGAAAAATTAATATTCGTCTTTAAATACATAGATCTGTACATGGCCCGTCAGACTGTCGTCTACTGTAATTTATTGAGAAATAAAACAAATATTGTGAAGGTCAGGATACGAGCTCATGCGACAGTTGCCGGTAAACAAAGCACTACGAACTCTTAAAATCAAGACCAGGTAGTTAGGGCGCTTGACTCACAATCTGAGGGTAACGGGTTCGATTCCCACCAAAAATGTTTGCCCTTTCAGCTGTGGGGGCGTTATAACGTGACGGTCATTTCCACTATTCGTTAGTAAACGAGTAGCCCAAGAGTTGGCGGTGGGTGGTGATGACTAGCTGCTTTCCTTCTAGTCTTACACTGCTAAATTAGGGACGGCTAGCGCAGATAGCCCTCGTGTAGCTTTGCGTGAAATTCAAAACCAAACCATCCTTAAAGTCATATTTTGTGTAAGAAGTTACAATACGTGTAAGAGTTCAAATATGGAACAACTGCGAATGTACGTAAAACAAATCTGATTATTGTTTTTCAGACATTGTTTTAGAAATTAAAATTACCGATACTTTCTTTACATGAGCTGATTAACATTTAATTAAAACTTTAAAAAAATGAAGCTAAACTAAGCCTTAATGAAGACATTTCAGTAGCACTAATTGATTAGATGTTTGTTTCAAATTAAGATATAAATTAATTACTGTAGTGTAATTCAAAAGACTGATCATTAAAACTGAAAATCAGATGAGTAAGGAATATTACACTCTCCACAACTTAAGCCCGTAAGGGGAATAGAATTACTTGGATCATGAATAGTGTACGCTCGCTATTAATCGATATGTTAGGCCTAAGTTGTAAGATCGACAAAATGTAAGGCAGAATATAATAACGAAGAACTCCACCGCAATACAGTAATCGATATCGATTTGAAAGGGGATGATAGATGGCGTAACGGGAAACTCTGACAACCAGGCCATAAGGAGTGTGGTGTCCTATTGCCAGAGGGAATGTTTGTGAAATGAAAGCGAGGCTGAAAAAGCTGCTTCGCGGTTATTGCAGCCAAATACTAAGAAAACATCTGAGAAGAACCAGACGAAAATGCACTTAGTAAACAAATTTTTTGTTTTCGAAATAAACTCCTCCCAAAGGAATAAAATTTGATAATAGTATTCGACATTAGAATAACACTTGGATAGTGTTGCTATAGCGATAGAAAAAAAAACTTAATTATAGCAACAAATAACTTTAATCAGGACAGTCCATCATAACACATTTTGTTATTGTTAATATTATAGGTGACACTTTTTAGAGATTTAACTATCACCCCCTCATCAGTTAACTTGAGTTAGTCTAAACTATATGACACGCTGTGGATTTAAGTCATATTAAGTTAAATTCCATTTTTTACTGCTAGTTTCATTGACAGCATTGGTAAATATTATATCTTTATTTTTTCCTCTTTACCTATTATATGTGCCTTGTATTATTAAGCTTAGTTTGTATTGCTAGTTTATATATGGAGTTAGGATTAACTTAGATCTTCTTAAATGACGAAACTCTTAAGACACTATTGGGATGACGGCCGAAAAGATCGATAACAGCGAAAGCACTCAACTCAAATGGATTTAAATCATTATATGTTTTATGTTTCATGACATTACACGCTCTTGGTAAAACCAGTATATTACATTCACTGGGTTAATTATTGGGTTTATACTTAATTTTTCTTTGACCTGAAGACTTTCGAAACGTTGTTCTTTACACTTGTGTTTTACAACAGGCAGTTACCATCCATTCCGGGTTACTCATCAATACTTAGTTCTGATCAGAAGTTATTGGTAATTGATTATAATGTCATTTTACGAGCTACATAATTAATTGAAAAGCAGGAGTTTAGAGAAAAGACAAAATTACTAATACCAACAACATCCACGACATCTTTCCATCAAATAAAAGTGCTCCATAATAAATCTGATGTAAAACCATAATCCTAAGCGTTCTTCACACCATACTCTATCCATGAAGAGAGGAACGGTTATCTTTATGCACCATGATTTCATAACATTTATCATAACAGGACAGACAACGTTACTAATACCAGTCACATCCTCGATATTAAGCTGAGCGTGGCTTAGTGACTAACGTGCTCGGACTATTAAGCCTAGGATCCATGGATCGCGGCCCGCTTCAGTAAAAATGGTACCGGAGTATTCGGTCAGACAACAGTAGCCTACGTGTTGGCGGTGGGTGCTATTGAATATTTGCTATTTTTGAATATATATTTGAATATACCCGTTACTATACCATAAGATAAATCCATGAACTCCGAAACCCGTTACTATACCATAAGATAAATCCATGAACTCCGAAACCCGTTACTCTGTCATTAAGGATGGTGTCTGGAAACTTGTGTTTATTATTTGCTCAGCCAATGTAATGACAAAAGCGGAAGTCGTGTGTTTGACAGGCTTAGAGAACACACCTAACTGGTTTAAAATGGAGACACAGACCAAGAACCAACAGCAAAATATAACAAAGTACGGCCCCGTTCTTAGAACTGTTAATATTTTTTTAATAAAAGCATTTGTCCAAAAGAAAAACACCCATTGAAACAACGATACTGAAGATCACCAGATCAAGACCATTCGTCTTTAATCGGGAGTTTAAGTTGCTTTTAGCTGACGTTGTTCGTTTCAGTATCCATATAAAACTAAGACTAGTAGTTACTGCAGAGAAGCGGATGTTAACACATCATAGACTGATTGAATGACAAAACACACACACACACACCCCTCAAAAAATGATCCACTCTTCAGCAAGCTTTCAGTACTTTACCAGAAGCAATGAAGTGATTTGTTATCCACTACGTTAATTTAAACTAAATTATATTGAGTTAACTGTCGTTGGAAAGTTTAAAGCATTTGCTGTATATTTAGCATATATTGTTTTATTATTGTTGAAATGTTAACGA